GAGCAGAAGGAAAGAGCCCCCCCCTGCAGCGACCCAACCATCCCTCCCACTCGCAGCCTTCCCCCCGCACGGCCGTTTCCTGCCCCTGGAATTTGTTTGCTGCCGGGATGTTTATTAGAGGCTCCGTGGTGTTTTATTTCATCACCTGGAGCAGGAGAAGCGCTCGGAGCCCGAATGCCGATGCCCAGGGCTGGGGAGGGAATTTGGCCGCGGGTGGCACCGGGGAAAGGAAGCGTTGGCGGAGATGGGATGTGCCTCGGGATGCACCGAGGGGAATTGGGGACAGGGATCGTCCCCTGAGCATCTCTGCCTTCCCCTGGACCCTCCCCGAGAGCTCCAGCTGGGATAAGGATGCTCCAGCCAGGCGTGAGCGATGTCCGAGTGCAGTGCTGGCTCTCGGGTGCTGCCTGGYTCTATCCCCCCGTGCCTCAGTTTCCCCGCTGGCTGCAGAGAGGGGGGCCGTGATCTGGCCTGGCTCCCAGCCTGGCCTCCGAGGTTTGAATTCCTGCTTTGTGCCTGCTCGGAAGGTGCTCTGGGAAAGCAAATATTCCTCTCCCCGGCGTTTACGGGCTGGCTGCTCCCTCTCTCCCGCCGCCGGCGAGGGGCACCGGGAGAGGGGCAGGGCCGGTGCTGGGGGAGACCAGAGGGGCTGCTCCATCTCCGCCCTGTCCCCGCTGTCCTGGGGGTCTCACGGTGCCACTCCGGGGATCCGGCTGCCCCGGGATGCTCCTTCCACCTTCCCAGCCCGCCCCGGGTCGGGGGTCTCGGGCAGGGCAGACCCCCGCGGCCGGGGGGACCCTCCCGGTGCAGAGGGGTCCCGTCTGCTCTGSCCGCGGCCCCGGCGTGTTTTGCCGCGCAGCTGGGCCGGTGCGGGGGCGAGGGGCGGTGCGACGAACATTCCTCACATATTTAAGGGCTCTGAGAGCCAGTGCGGTGCWGCTCCGGTGACTCGGCGGCTTTACAGCCCGCCTGAGGCCGGGATCCACCTAGGAAACGTCTCTGTTCCGTCCCGTTCCCGGCTGGGGCAGAGCGGCTCGATTTCTGCTGCCTTCAAATCCTGCCGGCACCGGGAGTGATGCTCAGCACTCGCTGGAGGGCTTGGAATCACTGGGAATGCGGGATTGGGGGGGCGCTTCCCATCCTGCCCAGTGCCCTTTGAGGGTTCCTGGGACCCGCACAGGGATCAGGGTCCCTCCTGCCCTGCACCGTGCCCGGAGCCTCCTCTGCCCCAGACTGACCTGGAATCTGATCCCAGTCCTGTTTATCTGCCGCCCTCCCGCCCTGCCAAGGCTTCCCCAGGGTTCTGTTTGCTTTTCCCGGCTCACCAGAACACCGCGTTCGCGCCCCGGCCTCTTCCCACAGCTCGTTTTATCATATTTTTTTTCCCCGCATCACGGTTCCCAACCTTGGTGGAGCCCGAGGTCGGGCTCTTCCCAAAATGCCAGCGATGCGGGAGAGGTCACGGGGATGAGGGATGGGAATGAGGGATGGGGATGAGGGATGGGAATGAGGGATGGGGATGAGGGATGGGGATGAGGGATGCTGAGCTCTGCACCGCGGGCAGGGAGGAGAGCCGGGATCCACCCACGGAGCCGTGAGTGGGAAAGAGGTGCCTGTAGGATCGGGATGGGGTGCTCAGGGGTTTGGCCCGGGTCCCGATGAAAAACCTTGTTTGTCTAAAGCTCCAGCCCCGCGGTTACGTCACCGTTCCAAGAACCCGAAAGAAAACACAGCACGAAAAGTCAAACAACAGCGGAGRGCTGAGCTCTATCCCGGCTGCAGAGGGGGAAGAGCTCCGTGGGAGCCTCCTGGCAGCTCCCGAAGGGTTGGATTGTGTTCTGGGGGATGGGAGGGATGGGCAGAGATGGAGCTGGGATGATCCCACTCTCCTCTTCCTCACTGCTGACTGCTCCGTGCCCCACGCCTGGCCTTGGAGCTGGCGTCCCGCTGGCACCGCATCCTCCGKGCTGGCACCGCRTCCTCCCCGCTGGCACCGCRTCCTCCCCRCTGKCACCGCCGCCGCTCGGACCTTGTCCCCAGTGCCTCTGTGACCGAGCAGAGAGCAGCCCCTGTGGGCACAGCCGGCGATTTTCCGGGCTGGGAACGGCTCAGGAACACCAAAACCCCTCCGGGGATGGCTGGAGACCTGTGCCCCGTGATTTGGGGTCTCTCGGGCACCGTGCCCSGGCAGAAATTGGGTGCTGGGGGTGTGACAGCTCGGGGGTGTTTCCAGTCTGGGCTGTGTGGAGCAGAGGGCGGGGATTTCTCCTGCCAAGAGCCCCCCGTTTGCCGAGGGTCCCCTTCACTTGCAGGGGGTCCCTTTCACTTGCAGGGGATCCCTTTCACTTTCAGGGGATCCCTTTCACTTGCAGGGGGGTCCCTTTCTTTTGCAGGGGGTCCCTCCACCTCTCTGATATGACCAAGTGGCAGCAGCGTGGCAGTGTCCCCAGTGAAGCCCCTCGGRGGCTTTTGGCGAGCAGAGACCCCCGCCCCAACACCCCCACGTRTCACCTGATGCCACGGGCGCACGGGGAACGAGTGGGAGGAGGACGTGACCGGAGCCCAAACCGAGCTGGAAGTTTCTCAATCCGACAYTCTGGGCTTGGCCCGGCGTGTCCGTACAGGGATCGCCGCCGGGCCACCCCTCGCCATCCCCACGGCCCCTCTGGAGGGTCTGGGGACCTCAAAGCTCCGGGAAAAGCAGCCCCCAGTCCCCGGGCCGGCCTGCCCGGCTCTCTCACGTCTCCCAAATCCCTCACATATGGTTTCTATATCACTTGGCTCCGCCGGAGCTTGCTCGGCTGTTAGCGAGCTTACTTTCCCTTGTCTTTCCATGCAGCTCTTGGCACGGGATGCTCGTCCTTCTCCCCGGCCCTGGTCCTCCCCCGCGCTGCCCGTTCGGACACGTCCCTCCCGGCCCCGGGGAGGGTGTGGGGCGGCCGGGGCCGGCTCCTGCCTCTGCTCTGCCCTCAAATTGCAGCCTGGCCGTGCCAGCCGCAGGTCGCTGCCAGGGGAGGTGCCGGYCCCGGCTTGTTTGCTCTTCCCTCGGCGCTGCCGCAGGTCTGCTCTCCACCCCGGAGCTTCCCCKCGATGGGATTCACCCATCGGTCAGTGCTGGGGACAGCCCCAAAACGTGGCTTTTTCGCCCCAAAGCGCTCCMCGCCACCGCTGGAGCGAGATTTGGGCTCGCTGCCTTGGAAAGGGATGGGATCCTCTGATCCTCTGAGCCCGTGGCTGTTTCTCTCACCCTGTGCCGGCTTTTTGGACCTCTCCGGGTTATCCCAATTGTCCCGCCTTGCCTCCGTAATTTGTGGCTCTTTTGGGACCCACTCGCTAAGCGCTTGGAGCGCGACCTTGGCTCTGCTCGCCCTCACCCCCCGAGCTGCTCCGGCCACCCCATTCCCCACCACGGCCCTTCCCGAGCGATGGCGAGGCCAGGGAGCGCCAGGCACCTTCAAATCTCCCCAGGTACCCCCAAAACTGCTGAGAAACCCCACTCAAACTCCACCCTACTGCGGCCACCTCCGGAGCCGCGGCCTGACCTCAGGCAGCCCTCGCATTTCCGCCGGAGCCGCGTCCCCGGGGCTCGGGGCCGGCCAAGCGCCGGGAGCCGCGTCACGGAAAGGCCACGGAAGGACTGGAGGGCAGGACGGACAGGAGGAGGAGGAGGAGGAGGAGGAGGAAGGGTCATGTGCAGGGTTATGTCCTCCACCCCGTAATGCTGAAGGATTTCTGCCCCTTCCCCCGGTGCTGGAGCGGGGGTCCCGGTCCCGGCAGACGGCCGGCTCCGTTCCTGCGGGCGCTGGGCGCAGCGGGAGCTTCCCGGGCCATATGGCTCCGCTCGGCGCTGGCAAATGGCTCAGAGGTGGCGATTTGGGRCACCCTGGGGCTGTCGGAGCTGGCACCGGGCTGGGGGGCAGGAGCCGGCCAGGAAGGGGGTCCTAAAGGCAGCAAAAGCGGGGGAAAAAGAGGCAGTTTTGCAACACAAATAATAATAGAAACCCTGCGGAGTGATGGACGGGCTTTATGTGATCCAGATGTGAGCGTGGGGCTGGGTCCAGCTGCTGGGGGCGGGGGGAGCTTGGCCCGCATCACGGTCAGTGGAAGGAGAGAGGGAGGAAGAGGAGGAGGAGGAAGGGTTTTCCTTCCTCTTCAGGGCTTTCCAGGTGTGGAGGGGCCGGGGAGAGGCCCCCGATGGGATTTGGGATGCAYAAAAGAGCGTTCACAACTCCCCTTCCCCTCCCAGCCGCCTTCCTGGGTGACATCGCCCTGGAYGAGGAGGACCTGCAGCTCTTCCAGGTGGACCGGGTGGTGGACCTGGCGCGTCACACGGTCACCCGGCTGCCCTCCAACTCCTCAGGTAACGCCGCACCCCGGCATCCGCGGCGCTTTTGGGAGTGTTCTGACCCCCTGTCCATCCCCGGGGCTGTCCGCACTGACCGTTCCCATCCCCGGGGCTGTCCGCACTGACCGTTCCCATCCCCGGGGCTGCCCGCACTGACCGTTCCTATCCCCGGGGCTGTCCGCACTGACCGTTCCCATCCCCGGGGCTGCCCGGACTGACCCTCCCCGTCCCCCCAGGCAGCAATGCCACCAGCCCCCGGGCGGGCCACCCTCGTCGCAGCCGCGGTCGCCAGCGGGCACGGAGCCGCCGCGCCGCCACATCCCGGCCGGAGCGAGTGTGGCCGGACGGGGTCATCCCCTATGTCATCAGCGGCAACTTCAGCGGTGAGTAGCGGCGAGCCGGGGGGTGTCCGGGCCCCGCCGTGCCTCAGTTTCCCCGCCGGGCTGACCCCCCGCCGCCCCTCCGCAGGCAGCCAGCGAGCCATCTTCCGGCAGGCGATGCGACACTGGGAGAAGCACACRTGTGTCACCTTCCTGGAGCGCAACGACGAGGACAGCTACATCGTGTTCACCTATCGCCCCTGTGGGTAGGTCCGGGGGCTGCTCCAGGACCTTTCCGGGGGATTTTGGGCTCGGGTTTACCCGGGGGTTGGGGTCCGGAGCTCGGCGCTCGCCGCCGGGGGCTGAGCTCGGTGGCGCGGCACCAGCCCGGGCTTGCGGCGGGGCCGAAGCCAAAGGAAACAGGGGTTTGGACGAGCTCGGCGTCTTCACGCGTCAGGGCACGGCCCCGGCCAAGCAGATGGCGGTTGGGAGAAGGATTTCCCCTGGAATGGGAGCCCCTGAGCGTGGGCGCAAACGCTGAGCCCGGCTCCAGAGCGCGGCTTGGCCGCTGGGCAGGGGCAAGGATGGGCACACCAGGAGCAGGATCGCGTTTTGTGGGGCTGCTTCAGCCGTGCCGTGCCGTGCTGGGCCATCCCGTGCCCGGTTTCCGGGCAGAGCTGAGGCTCAAGATCCTCACCTGAGCAGGATGCCTGAAGCTCCAGCATCCCAGTTTTGTGGGRCCCCCACCCCGGGGATGTCCAGCAAGGAATCACCCGGTTCTCCCCTCCAGRTGCTGTTCCTACGTGGGGCGCCGAGGAGGGGGACCCCAGGCCATTTCCATCGGCAAAAACTGTGACAAATTCGGCATCGTGGTGCACGAGCTGGGCCACGTCATCGGCTTCTGGCATGAGCACACGCGCCCCGACCGGGATGATCACGTCTCCATCATCCGGGAGAACATCCAGCCAGGTGGGCATGAACCCCCTTCCTCCTCCTCCTCATCCTCCTCCTCACCCTCCTCCTCCTCATCCTCTTCCTCCTCCTCTTCATCCCCGCCATGGGGTGCTGCCGAATTCGGGGTCCCCCCTGGCAGTGTCCCCGTTGTGTCACCCCCAGGGCAGGAATACAATTTCCTGAAGATGGAGCCGGAGGAGGTGGAATCGCTGGGGGAGACGTACGACTTYGACAGCATCATGCACTACGCCAGGAACACCTTCTCCAGGTACGGCCCGGGGTGTCCCCGTGTGTCCCCTCGTGTCCTGGGGACAGTGGCACACTGTCCCCAACCCCAGGGGACAATTACCAGCTGTACACAGGGTTAATTCCCTCGGAAAATGGTCCCATTGATGTCTAGGGCAGGATAAAACCCCTCAGCGTCCCTTCCCAGAGCAGGGAATTGCTGTCCCCGCGGTCACCTCCGCTGGGGACACGTCCCCGCTGACTCACYGGCCCTCAGGCTTTAATTAGCCGGGCTGGTTTTAATTAGCCAGGCYGTATTTAGCTCCCTTTTCCCGGTGATTCCCACCCGGCTCGTCCCTTTCCTGCCCCAGGGGGATCTTCCTCGACACCATCCTGCCCAAATACGACGTGAACGGGGTCCGTCCCGCCATCGGCCAGAGGACGCGGCTCAGCAAAGGCGACATCGCCCAGGCCCGCAAGCTCTACCGCTGCCCAGGTGGGTGTCACCTCCCTGGGAGCACTCCCGGGGCTGTATCTCCCGGAAAACGCTCGGTTTCACCCCAAAATTTGGCAAAAGTGGCGTCATCCTGGATGGATTTCCTGTTTTCTGCGGTTTTTGGGGTTCTTCGCGCTGTAGGATTCTCTAAAGAGCTGGCGAGGTGCGTTTCTCCATCCGCGGAGCTTTTTGGGGTGTTCTGAGCAGAAGTTGGAGGCTGAGTGAGCCCCGTGTGGGTGAGGGTGTCCTTGGCTGCCCKCTCCTCCTGCTCCTCCGAGAAAACAGCACTCCCCCAAAAAATCCTCTCTAGAGCRTCTTCCAAGAGCAATCCTCAAAAGAGCAGCTCCAAAAAGAATCCCCCTAAGAGCATTCTCAAAGAGCATTCCCCCAAGAAATCWTCCAAAAAAATCATCTCTCAAAGAGCATCTCCCCCAGGAGTCTCTTGCAACAGCATCCCCCATAAAATCCTACAAAGAGCATCTCCCCAGAGCATTCCTACAAAAGAATCCTTCAAGAGAAGGATTCCCCCAGAGGATCTTCCAAAAATTCTCTGAAGATCGTCCCTCCAAGAGCATCCTGCAGGAGCAGAGCATCTCCTGAGGGCACCCTGTGACCCCACAGCATCCTTGGAGAGCGAAGGATGACCCCCAGAGGGGTTTGGATGGGGTGGAACGGGACATTCTGGGGACACCAGACCCCAAAAATCCCCTTTGGAGCGGGAGCAAAGCGTGACCCCCTCACCGTTGTCACCTTGCCCGGCTCTGGGGCTGTCACCGTGAGCGGTGGCATTGTCCCCAACCGGGAGGGGAGGTTGGCACGAGTCTCCCCCGACAGCGGGCACGTGCTTGGGGACCGCGCTGGCAACATCTGCAAGGAGTTTGGCTCCCGCACGCTCCCGCTTAATTCCAGCAACTAATTAGCAGCCTGGAAGAGGGACGCCTTTGTGAGGGGCCCCACGGCCGCGCCGCCTTCGAGGGAGCAGGAAAAGTGATTAGTTTGGAGCAAGGCAAAGCAAAAAAAGGGAAGGGAAGGGAAGGGAAGGGAAGGGAAGGGAAGGGAAGGGAAGGGAAGGGAGGTCTGGAAAAAAAAAAAAAAAAAAAAAAAAAAGCCCAGAAAGGAGAAACCCCCCCGAAAAAAAGCCTCTCTGGATCCCGGCTTTTACTTTCTTTTGTTTCCACTGAGAAGCAAAAAGGGAAAAAAGGCAGTGAGCCCAGGTTTCAAGCGGCTTTTTTTTTTTTGCAGCGTTTCACCTTTCATCTCGTGCCCCCTCCCCGCTCAGAGGGGAGGATGAGGAGGGGGCGGCCGCCTTGGCCCCCCGACAGCCGCAGCGGAGCTCCCTGTGCCGCGGTCACGGCGTCATGTGGCTTCCAGATGGCAGCKCTGGGCCAGTTCCAGCCCCGAGAGMGGGCGGCCAGCCGAGCCCCGCGGCGTGGCAGGGCACGGGGGGGCCGCCAGAGATCCAGCCCCGCCGCAGGGTGGGGGGCACGGCCGCTGGAGAGCTGCCACSGAGCCGGGAGCCGCTCCAGGGAGGGTTGGGGATGGCGGTGATCGCGGATTTTTTGATCCTTAGAGCTGGGGAAAAAAAGCACCGGGGTTGGGGGTGAGAGCAGCGGTGCCCGTCCCGCTGCTGGGGGTTCCCTTGGAGGGTCTGAACCCCGATTTTCGCCCTTCACAGCCTGTGGGGAGACGCTTCAGGATAGCCAGGGTAACTTCTCCTCCCCGGAATTCCCCAATGGATACTCTGCCCACATGCACTGCGTCTGGAGGATCTCCGTCACCCCTGGAGAGAAGGTACTGACGGCTGCGGTGAAGGCTCCCAGCCCTCCTCTTCCTCCTCCCGCCTTTCTTCTGGGGTGTTTCTCATCCCAGCATCCCGCTGTGGGGTCACAGAGCGGGTCCGGGTTCCACCCGGTGCCCATCCCAGTGGACGGGGTGTGGGGGGAGCTGACCCCACGCTCTCCCTGCTCCTTCCCAACCTCAGATCATCCTGAATTTCACCACCCTGGACCTGTACCGAAGCCGGCTGTGCTGGTACGACTACGTGGAGGTGAGAGACGGGTTCTGGAGAAAGGCCACGCTGCGAGGTAACAACCCGGGGCCTCCTGCCCGCTCCTCCTGCCCGCCGGGACCGCCCCGGGGCCGGCAGCGGGGCCGGGGGGTTCCCTCTGCCTCTGTCCCTGCCTGCCTGGTGTCCCAAAGCCTTGGGGAGGGGGGAACAACCCCCCAGAGGGGTTATTGGGGTGAATGGAGCTCCCAGTTTGGCCCACACCAGTGAAACCAGTCTGGATGATCCAGCTGGCTGGAGCCTGGGAGATGCCAGTCCTG